CATAACGATTACAAGCATACCTATAACATGTTGCAGCCACCACTATGCTTGAAAATATGGAGAGTGGTACTCAGTAATGTGTTGTATTGGATTTGCCCCAAACATAATACTTTGTATTCAGGACAAAAAGTGAATTGCTTTGCCACATTTTTTTTTTGCAGTATTACTTTAGTGACTTGTTGCAAACAGGATGCATGTTTTGGAATATTTTTTATTCTGTACAGGCTTCCTTCCCTTCACTCTGTCAATTAAGTTAGTATTGGGGAGTAACTACAATGTTGTTTATCCATCCTCAGTGTTCTCCTATCACATCCATTAAACTCTGTAACCGTTTTAAAGTCACCATTGGCCTCATGGTGAAATCCCTAAGCGGTTTCCTTCTTATCCGGCAACTGAGTTAGGAAGGACACCTGTATATTTTTAGTGACTGGGTGTATTGATACACCATCCAAAAGTGTAATTAATAACTTCACCATGCTCAAAGGGAATTCAATGTCTGCTTTTTTATTTAATTTCTACCCATTTATAATAGATGCCCTTCTTTGCGAGGCATTGGAAAACCTCCTTGGTCTTTGTGGTTGAATCTGTGTTTGAAATCTGCTCGACTGATGGACCTTACAGATAACTGTATCTGTGGGGTAGAGATGAGGTAGTCTTTCAAAAATCATGTTAAACACTGTTATTGCACACAGAGTGAGTCCATGCAACTTATTATGTGACTTGTTAAGCACATTTTTACTCCTGAACTTACTTAGGCTTGCCATTAGAAATGGGGTAGAATACTTATTGACTCAAGACATTTCTGCTTTTAGTTTTTAATTAATTTGTAAAAACTATTTCCACTTTGACGTTATTAGGTATTGTGTGTAGGCTAGTGACAAAACATCTACATTTAATCCATTTTAAATTCAGGCTGTAACTCAAGAAGATTTGGAAAAAGTCAAGGGGTGTGAATACTTCTGAAGGCACTGTACATTTTGTTTGACCCTTGACATCCACAGGCCCAATTTATCAATTACTTTGAAATGTGAAAATGTCATCTCAGAGTAATCCTTACATCCTCTTTAGGGCTGCTCAAACGTTTTCTTAAATGTAGATATTTTCACAGAAGGAAGTCTGAATCACCAACAGCTGGCCGAAATGTGGTTAACTTAATAATAATAATAATAATATGCCATTTAGCAGATGCTTTTATCCAAAGCGACTTACAGTCATGCGTGCATACATTTTTGTGTATGGGTGGTCCCGGGGATCGAACCCACTACCTTGGCGTTACAAGCGCCGTGCTCTACCAGCTGAGCTACAGAGGACCACAACTTGATGGCTTTTTAATTTCTGTCACTATTGCGTCAGTCTGCGAGTGTTGAGAAATTTATACATCTGCACTGTGATTGGGGATAATGGTGATGAGATTTAGTTGAGATGAGTCTGTCGGGAGGCATTGTTACTGTTGGCTGACCCACCTAAAGTCCCGTGTTGCAGTGTTGTACAAGCAACTTATGTCTGGATTACATTGATATGGTACTGGTACTCCTTGTATATAGCTTAATTCTTGTGTATTTTTATTCCTTGTGTTAAAAAATAATTCAAATAAAAATAGTAGCACAATAGGAATACAATATACAAGAATGGAGCTAAATACAGGGAGTACCAGATCAACGTGCAGGTGTACGAGGTATTTGAGGTAGATATGTACATGAAGGCAGGGTAAAGGGACTAGGAATCAGGATAGATCATAATGAGTAAACTAAAGAACAGAGTAGCAGCAGCATATGACTGTAAAGGTGTGTGTATGTGTTGGTGTTGTGTGTGCGTATGTAAATGTGTGGGTTTTTTGCATGAGTGTCAGTGCAGTGTGTGAGTGAGTATATAGTGTGTATATATAGTCTTGTGAGTGTGCATAGTCAGTGCAAGATAGTTAAATGGTTACCCTAACTATTTAGCAGTCCTATGGCTATTTAGCAGTCTTATGGCTTGGCGGGAAAAGCTGTCTCGGCACCTGTTGGTCCGAGAGCCGATGCTCCGGTACCGTTTGCCGCACTGTAGCAGTGTGAACAGTCTATGGCTTGGGTGGCTGGAGTCTTTGGCAATTTTCGGGCCTTCCTCTGACACCACCTGATATGGAGGTCCTGGATGGCAGGAAGCTCGGCCCCTGTGATGTACTGGGCTGTCTGCACCACCCTCTGTAGTGCTTTGCGGTCGAGGGTGGTGCATTTGCCTACCAAGTGATGATGCAGCCAGTTAAGGTGCTCTCGATGGTGCAGCTGTAGAACTTTTTGAGGATCCAAGGGCCCATGCCAAATCTTTTCAGCCTCCTGAGGGGAAAGAGGTGCTGTCGTGCCCTTTTCACGACTGTGCGGGTGTGTGTGGTCCATGTTAAGTCCTTAGTGATGTGGACGCCAAGGAACTTGAAGCTCTCGTCCCACTCCACTACAGCCCCATAGATGTGGATGGGGGTGTGCTCTCCCCTCTTTCTCCTGTAGTCCATGATCAGCTCCTTGGTCTTATTGACGTTGAGGGAAGAGGTTGTTGTCCTGGCACAACACTGCGAAGTCTCTGACCTCCTCCCTTAAGGCTCTCATCGACGTCGGTGATCAGGCCTACCACCGCCGTGTCAGCAAACTTGGTGTTGTGGGTGAACAGGGAGTACAGGAGCGGACCCTGGAGGGGCCCCCGTGTTGAGGGTGGTGTGGCCTACCCTTACCACCTGGGGCCAGCCCGTCAGGAAGTCCAGGATCCAGTTTCAGAGGGAGGTCTTCGTCCCAGGGACCTCAGCTTGGAGGGGACTATGGTGTTGAACGCTGAGCTGTAGTCTATGAACAGCATTCTCACAGTTATTTCCCCTCTTGTCCAGGTGGGAGAGGGCAGTGTGAAGTGCAATTGAGATTGCGTCATCTGTGGGTCTTTTGGGGCGGTATGTGAATTGGAGTGGGTCCAGGATGATTGTATTGATGTGTGTCATGACCAGCCTTTCAAAGCACTTCATAATTACAGATCTGTGTGCTAGAGGGCGATTAGGCAGATTACCTTGGGATTTATTGGGAACAGGGACAATGGTGGTCAGTTTGAAACATATTGGGATTAGACTGGGCCAAGAACATATGGGAGAAGACGGAATAATTAAAAACAGAATAATTACTTTTCATTCCTGATAAGACACTCAGTGCTTCGTGCTTTCGTGGGCGTTTGTTCAAAGAGATCAAAAAGGGCATTCTCCCTAACAGTGGCATGTAAAGAACATTTTGAACGAGGTGGCAAAGGTGGGGCACACCCAGTTTAGGGGGGCCATAACATTTAGAACCTTAATGGATACAAGGTGGATTTTTCCCCCCAATATAATTATGATGGTTCAACTCATTAAATGCTTCAGCTTAGGTTTGGTAAATTTCCCTTTTCAAATAAATCAATTCCAAAAAGTCTTGTTACAGTGTTTGCATTCAAGGTCAGGATTTTATATAGCCTAAGGGTATTAGCATACAGCAGTAAATTCACTTGAACGGGCTCTCTTTTTTTAACGGGACCTCCTATGTGCACTTTTATGGGCTTTATAGTAAAGACATGTAATTTAACTGTAAAAATGTATTAACTTATGTTTAAATCTGATTGTCAAACAAATCACTTCAAAAAGTAGGTTAAGTAAGTTAACTGCGAATGTTTGTCTACTCCAGTGTTTGAGCGAGGCAAATAGCACCCGTCTTAGTATGTGTAGCCCATGTATCTGCTGCTGTCCGGCCAAAAATAATGACATCATACTCTTTTTGGCCAGACAGCATGAGAATCATGGGCTACACATACTAGGACAGAGGGGCGCTGTTTCACTCGCTGGGATGCTTTCTCCGGTGAGATTGATGAATCTTGCAGTTGGTGCATGTCTATAATTAGTTCAGATTTGGTCCGGTCCGGACCAAATCTGAAGCAATCATAGACATCTATGTTGCAGAAGTTTGACAGCACAGTAGAGTTGTGGTTCTCAAACCTCTCCATGGGGGACCCCAGGCCGTTCCATGTAATTGATTTATTCCAGAGCTAGCACACCCGATTCAACTAATCTTCAAGCTCTTGAATAGCTAGATCCGAGCTACAGCAAAATTGTGAAATGTCAGGTGGTCCCTGAGCAGAGGTTTGAGAACCACTGCAGTAGAGCACAGCACATGACCAAAAAAGTAGTATTTTCAACATTAATTCAAAACCAAAAATCTACCAGATTTCAAACTTGCCATCGGTGTGAGTCTTGGTCAGAATTATCAATATATTCAGAGACAACCTATCAGATCCCCACGGGGGGTGGACAATCAGATTTCAGGGGGGACTGTGGCAACACTGGGCCATGCCACTGCTCCCCAAAGCCTGTATCTAACCTCAGAAATCAAAACCCCTTCATTAATAAGAATTTCCAAGCTACTTCCCAAAACAGTCAACAAACACCTTCCCAGTACATCTCAATAGATCAGTAGCATTGCTTGCTGGCTAAAGTTGTCTATCCTACACTAGTAGTACCAGCTTCAGACTTTGAACATTTCTCAAAGTTAGACTTTCATTGGGTGTGCTCTTTTTGCAGGGGACGTCTGGTTATTACATGGGTGGGCAAAGTTGGCACTCGATTTGCAATTTAGGAGTCCGGTGGCAAACACCGATTTCCCAACTCACAACAGACAATGAGGCCAGCTAGGAGGGGTGGAGTAAAACAAAAAACTAAATGCACGTGGTAGAGAACTTCTGATCATTAAGAAACATTCCAACTGCCACTAAACAATTCTTCCTTTTTTGAATTTTTCCTGGTCTGTCGTGTTTTAGTGACGACATTCACCGCCCCCACGCTCTACAGTACTCAATTACAACGGCAAACTCTGCCTTCACCACTTACGTAGTTCAGTGTCCACCGGCGGGGAAAAACAAGCACACCCATTGAGAACCATGTCATCATGAGTATTGGCTGGACCAATCGGCGAGAATATATACCTTTATCCTACTCAGCCGGCTGTCAGTTAAATAAACACTGCCTTTTTACTGCACAAGGTTTAATAGGTCAGGCTGACAAGCAAGCATCCAGTAACCAACTCTTCATCCTTTTCCGCTGGAGAGAAAATACCATCACAAATGTAAACAATCATATTTTTTACCCCACTTTTTTTATTTATTTATTACAATTAATTCAATTTTCCATATTTTCTTGTGTCGACTACTCCTTTCCTTTTCCATTTAAAACAAGTCAGTATGAGACTATTCTTTTTAGAAACTGAAAAGTCCTGAAAGGGGGAGGGGGAGGTCTGGGATGGGTTTTGAGTAAGGAAGGTAGGTAGGAGTGATGACCTCCCAGGTGTCTCTACCCCAGGTGAGGAGACTTTCATATTTAATGTGAGATTCTTTCATTCGCTTGATCTCCTCTTCTTTTCTCTCCCGCTCTCTCGCTTTATTCTACGCTGTCCTCCGCGTCATCTCCTTGCTCGCTGTCCATTAGCAAAGCAGCGTATTTACTGGCTGAGCTGAATTTCTGAAACAAAAAAAAAAAGAAATAGATCAGGAGAGATCCTAACATTGCTTATTTGGTCCCACTTTACAATAAATGTCCTTAATACTTATGTATTTACATGGTACAGTACTACTACAGGTAACAGGTATTACAGTTGTAAGTACTATGTCACAATGTGTACCTAAACTGTACATTGTATTATTAAAAACAAAAAAAAACTGTTTTAAGTGAAGTATTTGTACTGTTATATTCCTGTTTGTGGCCTGCCTGTTATCTTGCACGATTCTTGCCATTCTCCTTTGACTGCTCATCAACAAGCTATTTTCGCCCACAGAACTACCGCTGACTGGATGTTTTTAGCACCATTCTCTGTAAACTCTAGACACGGTCGTGCATGAAAAGGCCAGAAGACAGGCCATTTCTGACATATTGGTGCCGACGACCATTCCACGCTCAAAGTCGCTTAGGTCACTTGTTTTGCCCATTCTAACGTTCAACCGAAAAGTAACTGAATGAGTCGATGCCTGTCTGCCTGCTTTATATAGCAAGCCACGGCCACATGGACACTACAAGGTGTCGAAAGCATTCCACAGGTATGCTGGCCCATGTTGATTCCCACAGTTGTGTCAAGTTAGCTGGATGTCCTTTGGGTGGTGGACCATTCTTGATACACACGGGGAAACTGTTGAGCGTGAAAAACCCAGCAGCGTTGCAATTCTTGACACAAACCGGTGCACCTGTCACCTACTACCATACCCTGTTCAAAGGCACTTAAATATTTTGTCTTGCCCATTCACCCTCTGAATGGCACATACACAATCCATGTCTCAGTTGTCTCAAGGCTTAAAAATCCTTCATCTACACTGATTGACGTGGATTTAACAAGTGACATCAATAAAGGGATCATAGCTTTCACCTGGTCAGTCTGTCATGGAAAGAGCCGGTGTTCATAATGTTTGTACACTCAGTGTATGCATGTATATATACACATTATTTTAAATAGGACAATGTAAAGTCCATTATTAATCCATTATCAACAATTTTGGTGCGGTCCAGACCGGCCTTGAGTCCCTAAAAACACACCACTTCGGTACTAGTAACTTTTTGTAGCAGGTTAGGAGAGCATTTTCGCTAACCCTAACCCGTTTCCAAACCTTAACTTAATTCTCCTAACCTGCTGGGTAAGTTCTAACCTGCTACAAAAAAGTCATAGCTGTATCGAAGAGGCGTGTTTCTAGGGAATCTCATCCAAGGATGTTGATTTTATGTCTGGTCTGGACCAAATCTGAACCAGTCATTGACATCCTTGATTGGTTCAGATTTGGTCTGGTCAGCACATTAGAGGTTCTCAAACCTCTCCATTGAAACCCCAGGCCGTTCAATGGAATTGATTTATTCCAAAGCTAGCACACCCGATTCAATTTGTCAACTAATCCTCAACCTCTTGAATAGCTAGATCAGAGCTACAGCAACATTTTGAAAAGTCTGGGGTTCCCCGAGGAGAGGTTTGAAAACCACTTCAGTAGAGCACAGCAGAGTGCAGTACATTACAGTAAAAATAAGTAGAGTATTTTCAACATTAATTCAGAACCAAAAATTCACCTGATTTCTACGTATGGAAAATACAGCACCAGTCAAAAGTTTGGACCACCTACTCATTCAAGACTTCCTTTATTTTTTACTATTTTCTACATTGTAGAATAATAGTGAAGACATCAAAACTATGAAATAACACATATGGAACCATGTAGTAACCAAAAAAGTGTTAAACAAATCAAAATATATTTTATATTTGAAATTCTTCAAAATAGCCACTCTTTGCCTTGATGACAGCTTTGCACACGCTTGGCATTCTCTCAACCAGCTCCATGAGTTAGTCACCTGGAATGCATTTCAATTAACAGGTGTGCCTTCTTAAAAAGTTAATTTGTGGAATTTCTTTCCTTCTTAATGCGTTTGAGCCAATCAGTTGTGTTGTGACAAGGTAGGGGTGGTATACAGAAGACAGCCCTATTTGGTAAAAGACAAAGGCATATTATGGCAAGAAGAGCTCAAATAAGCAAAGAGAAACAACAGTCCATCATTACTTTAAATGTAGGAAGGTCAGTCAATACGGAACATTTCAAGAACTTTGAAAGTTTCTACAAGTGCAGTCGCAAAAACCATCAAGCGCTATGATGAAACTGGCTCTCATGAGGACCACCACAAGAAAGACACAGAGTTACCTCTGCTGCAGAGGATAAGTTCATTAGAGTTACAAGCTTCAGAAATTGTAGCCCAAATAAATGTTTGAGAGTTCAAGTAACAGACAACATCTCAACATCAGCTGTTCAGAGGAGACTGCGTGAATCAGGCCTTCATGGTCGAATTGCTGCAAAGACACCAATACTAAAGGACACAAATAATAATAATAATAGATTTGCATTGGATATTAGACCGGTGGAAATGTGTCCTTTGGTCTGATGAGTCCAAATTTTAGATTTTTGGTTCCAATCGCTGTGTCTTTGAGACGCAGAGTAGGTGAAAGGATGATCTCCACGTGTGGTTCCCACCGTGAAGCATGGAAGAGGTGGTGTGATGGTGCTTTGCTGGTGACACGGTCTGTGATTTATTTAGAATTCAAGGCACACTTAACCAGCATGGCTACCACAGCATTCTGCAGCGATATGCCATCCTATCTGGTTTGCGCTTAGTGGGACTATCATTTGTTTTTCAACAGGACAATGACCCAACACACCTCCAGGCTGTGTAAGGGATATTTGACCAAGAAGGAGAGAGATGGAGTGCTACATCAGATGACCTGGCCTCCACAATCCCCCGACCTCAACCCAATTGAGATGGTTTGGGATGAGTTGGACCGCAGAGTGATGGAAAAGCAGACAAGTGCTCAGCATGTGGGAACTCCTTCAAGACTGTTGGAAAAGCATTCCAGGTGAAGCTGGTTGAGAGAATGCCAAGTGTGCACAAAGCTGTCACCAAGGCAAAGGGTGGCTACATTGAAGAATCTAAAATCTGAAATATATTTTGATTTGTTTAACACTTTTTTGGTTACTACATGATTCCATGTGTTATTTCATAGTTTTGATGTCTTCACTATTATTCTACAATATAGAAAATAGTCAAAATAAAGAAAAACCCTTGAATGAGTAGGTGTTCAAACTTTTGACTGGTACTTTATGTATTTTCAACATCAGGAAAATACATATTTTAAACTTCCTGAAAATACGTCTTTTCACTTCTCATTCAGAACCAAAAATTAACCCAACTTCAATGGTCTGGAAAATAAGTATTTAAAAAATTTGTCTTACTGGGTTCGGATTTCTGGGAACACACTGAACTGTAACTTCACATGGTTAATCAGTCAGCACAGATGTTGATTCAAATGGCATTAAGAAAATTGCATTGAAAGAGGGTGTACTGAATTAATTCATCATAAGGTAAGGGCTGGAATTTATTGTGAGTTTGTGTTGTGAGAGGCTGATCTTGGTTGAGGAAATGTAGGCTAGCTAGCAGTGTCTCTGTTGAACCTGACATCTGGCTGCACATGTAGCCATCTAGCCAGTTCATGCCGGAGTAACTAGATGAGCAATGCCCATTGCATGTATTATAAGTTAGCAGCATGGCAGTTTCTCAAAGTTTGGTGTTGACTATGCACTTTACTTAGCTAGCTATGCTTATTTGGATTTGTTGTCAACATTGGTACAGTCTTGTTGGCTTGTAGATTCTGGCTAGTTGGCTAGCTAACTGGCTGTAATAGCAGCCAAGAACGTTTGCTATCTTAATTGTTTGTGCTCTGATTTACACTGTGAACAAAAATAAAACGCAATATGCAACAATTTCAAAGATTTTACTGAGTTACAGTTCATATAAGGAAATCAGTAAATTAAAATAAATGCATTAGGTCCTAATCTATAGATTTCACATGATTGGGAATACAGATATGCACCTGTTTGTCACAGATACAGTACCTTAAAAATGAAAGGTAGAGGTGTCGATCAGAAAACCAGTCAGTATCTGGTGTGACCATTTGCCTCATGCAGCGTGACATCTCCTTCGCATAGAGTTGATCAGGCTGTTGATTGTGGCCTGTGGAATGTTGTCCCACTCCTCTTCAATGGCTGTGGGAAGTTGCTGGATATTGGTGGAAACTGGAACACGCTGTCGTGCACGTTAATCCCAGAGCATCCCAAACATGCTCAATGGGTGACATGTCTGGTGAGTATGCAAGCCATGGAAGAACTGGGACATTTTCAGCTTCAAGGAATTTTGTACAGATCCTTGCAACATCATGCTGAAACATGAGGTGATGGCGGTGGATGAATGGCACGACAATGGGCCTCAGGATCTCGTCACAGTATCTCTGCATTCAAATTGCCATCGATAAAATGTAATTGTGTTCGTAGCTTATGCCTACCCATACCATAACCCCACCACCACGGGGCACTCTGGCTTATGGTAGAGAAATTTACATTCAATTATCTGGCAACAGCTCTGGTGGACATTCCTGCAGTCAGCATGCCAATGCTCCCTCAAAACTTGAGACATCTGTGGCATTGTGTTGTGTGACAAAACTGCACATTTTAGAGCGGCCTTTTAGGTGCACCTGTGTAATGATCATGCTGTTTAATCAGCTTCTTGATATGCGATACACGTCAGGTGGATTGATTAACTTGGCAAAGGAGGAATGATCACTAACAGGGATGTAAACAAATTTGTGCACAACATTTGAGATAAGCTTTTTGTGCAAATGGAAAATTTCTGTGATGTTTAATTTCAGCTCATGAAACATGGGGCCAACACTTTACATGTTGCATTTAGATTTCTGTTCAGTGTAATTTACACATGACTTCAGCCATATGAAAAATCCTCCATAGCAAAATATACCCATCTCGCTAACAACCTTTTCTTGTAGCTTGCTTCTCATCCAACTGGTGTTAGCTAGCTAGGTAGCTACAGCTGCTACCATGCCACTAGCTAGCTGCTGCTGTTGTGCAGCAACCAAGTTGTGGTCCTGGTTTTAGAACTCAGATTCGGCTGATCAGATTTGTCAGAAATGCTACAAAAAGGTAGCACATAATTGGTTCTTAATGGACAGAAATTAGCACGAGAGAGCATTAAATTATACATTTTATAAAAACTGTTGCACCTACAAACAGTCAATCCAAAAATGTTCAAGTCCAATGGTCACTTTATGGACGCTATAATCTCATTTTAATCCGACGTCTAGAATTTGAGCTTGGTAGGTGCAGAAAATACTCCTAAAACTAAATTGCTAACGACCCTGTTCAAATAATCCAGCATGTGTTTCTCGGTAAAGGCCAGAACGGCTCATGACGAGAGGCAGGGTGTGTGTTGTGTACCTCCAAGTTGATTTACACAATTTCATCGAGATTGGTGTCATATTGGCTTAGATATGATGGTAGGGAGATTTTAATAACATTGAGCTTCAACTAATACCTATCGCCCCCACACTATGCTTGCTTCGAGGCAAGCAACACTGAAGCATGCATAAGAGCATCAGCTGTTCCGGATGACTATGTGATCACGCTCTCCATAGCCGATGTAAGACTTTTAAGCAGGTCAACATTCACAAGGCCGCAGGGCCAGACGGATTACCAGGACGTGTACTCAGAGCGTGCGCTGACCAACTGGCAAGTGTCTTCACTGACATTCAACATTGAGTCTGTAATACCAACATTCAAGCAGACCACCATAGACCCTGTGCCCAAGAACACTAAGATAACCTGCCTAAATGACTACCGACCCGTAGCACACATCTGTAGCTTTGAAAGGCTGGTCATGGCTCACATCAACACCATTATCCCAGAAACACTAGACCCACTCCAATTTGCATACCGCCCCAACAGATCCACAGATGATGCAATCTCTATTGCACTCTACACTGCCCTTTCCCACCTGGACAAGAGGAACACCTACGTGAGAATGCTATTCATTGACTACAGCTCAGCATTTAACACCATAGTGCGCTCAAAGCTCATCACTAAGCTAAGGACCCTGGGACTAAACACCTCCCTCTGCAACTGGATCCTGGACTTCCTGACGGGCCGCCCCCCAGGTGGTAAGGGTAGGCAACAACACATCTGCCACGCTGATCCTCAACACGGGGGCCCCTCAGGGGTGTGTGGTCAGTCCCCTCCTGTACTCCCTGTTCACCCATGACTGCATGGCCAGGCACGACAAAAACACCATCATTAAGTTTGCAGACGACACAACAGCGGTAGGCCTGATAATCGACAACGATGAGACAGCCTATAGGGAGGTGGTCAGAGACCTGGCCGTGTGGTGCCAGGATAACAACGTGATCAACACAAAGGAGATGATTGTGGACTACAGGGAAAAAAAAGAGGACTGAGCACGCCCCCATTCTCATCAACGGGGCTGTAGTGGAACAGGTTGAGAGCTTCAAGTTCCTTGGTGTCCACATCACCAACAAACTATCATGGTCCAAACACACCAAGACAGTCGTGAAGAGGGACCAAAGCCTATTCCCCCTCATGAGACTGAAAAGGTTTGGCATGGGTCCTCAGATCCTCAAAAAGTTATACAGCTGCACCATCGACCGCATCCTGACTGGTTGCATCACCGCCTGGTATGGCAACTGCTCGCCCTCCGACCAGCCACCCTAGTCATAGACTGTTCTCTCTGCTACCGCACAGCAAGCGGTACCGGAGTGCCAAGTCTAGGTCCAAAAGGCTTCTTAACAGCTTCTACCCCCAAGCCATAAGACTCCTGAACAGCTAATCATGGCTACCCGGACTATTTGCATTGCCCCCCCCCCCCCCACCCCCTCTTTTACGCTGCTGCTACTCTATTTATTATCTATGCATAGTCACTAACTCTACCCACATGTACATATTACCTCGACTAACTGGTGCCCCCACACATTGACTCTGTACTGGTAGCCCCTGTATATAGCCTCCCTACTGTTATTTTACTGCTGCTCTTTAATTATTTTTTCTTATCAATTTTTTACTTAACTTTGTTTTTTTAAACTGCATTGTTGGTTAAGGGCTTGTAAGTAAGCATTTCACTGTAAGGTCTACACCGGTTGTATTCGGTGCATGTGGCAAATAAAATGTGATTTGATAATATGTATATATAACTTATGTATATAGATATCAGGAAACTTATCATGAAGTGGGACCCATGTTTTTCCTGTTGTGTGACTTTGCAATAAAAGCCAAAGAGAGAAGAACAAACAAGGAAAGATTGAGGAAAAAGCTGGCGACGATGAGGGATACCCTAAAAGGGTGGTACCATGGGCAGTTTCAGTAGAGGACTGAAGCTAATGCGCTGAGATAATGTGGTAAAGGACTGAAGACAGTTTGGGGGACAGGTTCAGTGAAAGACTGAAGATTGTGCAGGGGGAGTTTCAGGTTTTGAAAAAACTGAACTTGACAGTGTGTGGGAGTTTGAGGAAAATCCAAATCCACTATGGGGTGGGTCAAGAGCACTTGATGTGGCACCAGGACTCACAGGAGTGGGGGACTCTTCGTATTTCTTTGGCTCTGGTGCTGGTCTTGAGTCCCGGTCTCTTCTGTTATCCTTTCTACAATCAGAATAAACACTAAGTTAAACTTCACTGTCCAGCTAAGTCTTGAGGGTCAGAGCCTGTGAGTGCACTAGCACACTGCTCAACTGTACAACACCAAATCATTCCCAATCAAATTGATCCAATATAATCCACTCATAACTGTAAATGCAGGAGAAGACTAATAGTATTCACACCCTCACAATCTCTCGTATAACCTCTAAAGGCTGGTTTACAGTTAGTCACCAACAGGAGTGTTGACTCAAGTAGGCTACCCCCAACATGACACATTTCTGTTTTATCCCCACACAAGTGCACCTAGTTAACTAATGATAAAGCTCAGGTGTTATTGTGTGGGGCTAGATTAAAAAAAATTGTTAAGTTAGGGAAAGGAATGGAGGAACACTGACCAACATCGGTGTAAAAAAACATGGTTATTGTACACAACCTCAACCAGTTCCATCCAGTTTAAATTGGAACTGTTGCGAAAAAAATGACTTTTTCATGTGCGATGACATACGCAAGAAATACCCACATCTACTCACGCCTCCGAGACACAAATCATAATTTTTTGAATGAGGAAGGCTAAATGGAATTAGCTAGCTAAACAGTCATTATATTGCCTAAAACCAATCAGTTCAGTTATTACGGTTACCATAACAAGGAACTACAACCCCTGGGAGTGGGTAATAATTATATACCAGAGGTCTCCAACCTTTTCTAGCTTGAGCTACTTTTAGTTTTTTTTTTATGAAACGTCGCAAGCTACAATTTTTTTCTAGCTTTCAAATAGGCACATTCTCCTCTCCCCTGCAACTCTTCCCCATGTCCTTTTTGTACAAGAGAAAGTAGTGCACTAAGTTCTGCCAATATACCTGGGAAAATAAAATGGTAAAAAAACTACTTTAAGGGGGCCCTATAAAATGTGATTTTCCACCAGAATTGTTTTATAGTTTCCCAAATTAAGTTCCGTTACATTTAGATGTTTTTTGTTTTTCATTCAAAATTAGTTGTTCATAGTCAAACAACGAAATTGGATGTTCGGAGTCCACGCTTTAATCAAATCAGATTTTTTTTTATTTTTATGTAGGTCTGATTATTATAATTTTTTTAGCAATTCCCCTGGAATTGTTTATCTGTGCCTTTATTATTATTTTATTTAACCTTTATTTCACTTGGCAAGTCAGTTAAGAACAAATTCTTATTTACAATGATGGCCTACACCGGCCAAACCCTCCCCTAACCCGGACGACGCTGGGCCAATTGTGCGCTGCCCTATGGGACTCCCGATCACCAGTTCGAACCAGGGTCTGTAGTGACGCCTCTAGCACTGAGATGCAGTGCCTTAGACCGCTGCGCCATTCGGGAGGCCAATTGCACACCTTGCGAGTGAAGAACGTGCCATCTAATTCGCCGAGTGAAGAACGTGCCATCTAATTCGCCGGTCTAGCGATGGTTCTGTACAGCTGCTGCTCATGTCATAGCAAAGTTTGCAAATAAATAATAGACACAAATGATATACTTTTGGGGAAAGTATTTCTGTCAACCCACAAGGCAGTTATCACATTGGAGTGAGAAACGTACGCACCACACAGACAGGGGCAATATTGCTGGAAATTAATTGGCAGATAGTGTTAGGTTCGGCTTTTTAAGCCAATAGCGGCTAACCAGGGGTGGGATAATGTCAATGTCGCGTTGCTTAGATAGTAGCTGAGAGCTTGCGGTGTCTGATGCTTGTGAGATTTGTTAATGACAGTTTTGCGGTGAAACACGTGAAAATTGCATGTACTTTCAGAATTGTTTGGCGAGCTACTCATAGGTGGGCTGCGAGCTACTGGTATGAGTCCCTGTTCTGTAGTTATTTCCATTTTTTTGTCAATATTTACATAATATAAGTCATGATAACATTTTGGTGGGTTTGTGACATGATGTTAGAAACGTCCAAATGATCATGTTGTGCTTTAGTAATGAGGCAAACGAGTGCTGTGCCGTCACGTTCGGGAGAGTCAAGGAATTGCTGCTTGCATCGGTAATATCCTCACTGAGGAGAGTATTGGGCCCTGGTGAAGGCACTTCCACTAAGCTAGCAAGCATTTAACCTAACAATAACGGTAGCAATTGCATTGCTTTTAACTTCTATTCAAACAGTTGACGTATTGACCATAAACCAGCCTTTAGAGGTACCCTGGCTGCAATATCCTCCCTGCCTGTTCCACTAATGCCACTCGTTTTGGGCTGACCTGTCTTCCTCCCTTCGTCGGTCTCTGTTGGCCCCTTCTCCTCGGCCCCGCCCTGCTCCAGGCCCCGCAGCCCCCCCTCTCCCCCGTGGGGGGCCCCGGTCCCGACGCACACAGTCCACTTTATTCTCGTCTGGAAGGGAGAGCCCAAACAGTGAGGATTGAGGGAGGGGTTTGGGTGGCTGGAACTCCACGCCACAACAGCATTCCACACCGCCTATGGCCCAAGGTTGCATTCAAGATCATGACATTTGCACAGTTATGCAAAGCATCTATTGTCAAATGGGAGGTTCAAACATCTAACTTTTGTGATCTTGAATACAACCCAGGACTAGGGAACCCATTTTCCTTAATGGCCACAGGGTCTGCTGCTTTTGCTGACTGACAACCTTCACCTGATTAATAAACCATATCCATTAAATAATGAATAATCTTACCTCATTTCCCAGGAGCTAACCACATATTCATGGCAAAATCTGTCAAGAGTTTGACAACACCAGGGTCACGTTCAGGAGGCACAAACAAGAGAAAACACTTAAAAAACGTTTTATGGGAAAGGGTGTTGAAGTTTGAACGTTAGGTGTCGTTTGGTGCCTACAGAGCACGACCCTGGGAAAGTATCAGACACTGCACCCCTACAGGACCAAGGGTTCCCCACTTTTACACCAGGGCTGCCCAGTTTTGTTCCTGCTGTCTCTTCTCTCCTGGGTTTTATACCAACTGATAATTCAGTACATTAGAGTTGGATTCCAATACTTCAAAGTTGCTTCTGATGTCCCATCTCTTCATCCTCATTCATTTGAAATGATTGTGTGTGAAGTACTGGTGGCCAAGGTAGTTGGGACCTTCCATATTGCTTTTTGCCAACCCTTCAGACCAGTGCTTTACAGTTGCAATATAGAGTCCTGAGATAGCTAGCCAATGAAACCAGGCAAGAGAACCAACAGGAGAGATTACCAGGACCAGAATTGGGCAGTTCTACACTATTTTGATCCATGTTAGTCAAGTTGTGGCCTCCTCGTCCCAATCCACCCACTCGCCCCCTTCTCATTTTACATTTTAGTCATTTAGCAGACGCTCTTATCCAGAGCGACTTACAGTTAGTGAGTGCGTAAATGTTTTATACTGGCCCCCCGTGGGAATCGAACCCACAACCATGGCGTTGTAAGCGCCATGCTCTACCAACTGAGCTACACGGGACCATGCTTTAGCTAATCACCAAACCCCCTGAGATAGAAGTGGAAACAATCAATCATGAATTCCTTTTAGAATTGGAACGTGATGTTAGATATCACAATCCAGCAGTGATTCAGGGGCGAGGGGGTGAATAAAACCCCAAAGTGTCAATAACACTCACGCTTGACTTCAGAGCATAATCTCTTAATCTGAGAGTAGGACTGAAAGGCCTAGTTGGTCCACTCTGGGATTAGATTAGGACAAAGTCTCCATTACACCTTATTTGGAATGAATCACTAACAAAACACACAAGCACAAGTTCTTTGCAGTCCGAGTGCCTTACCCCTTCCAGATCCTCTTTCATCTGCAGAACTTGAGCTGAAAGAGACAGGACATTCAGACCTTTAGCTAACTAGCTTGCAAAGTAAAAATTCAAAGCAAATGTTTTGCCTCAGTCACTACAATAGACACAGGGATGTGACATCAATACGAAACAATTGGCCACTCTTATCCATAGATGCTATACAATATACAAGACGTATAAGAATGTGTTCTGACCTCATTTTGGGAGGTGCCGCGTCACTGGGGGAGACAGGGGTGGACCCTGCGCTCACCGCAGGGCGCTTGGCCCAGGCATTCTCCTTGGGTGGTGGTGCGGGCATCACCTTGAGAGGCTCCTTGGAGGAGGATGTGGAAGAGTTGGCGGAAGTAGGGCGAGCCCCGGGAGAGGGAGGGTCGTCCTCCTTACCACTGAATACTTCATTCTCAACCGAGCGCTCGCTCTCTCTGCGTCGCGAGACTGGACAAAAGAGGGTGAGAGTTCAGTATTGAAACGGACTGTTTGGGTTGCCTCTGGTGTAAAAGGGGCTACCTCTGCTCCTCTCCTTTAACTTGTATTGAAAACTAATCCTCAATAGGAATACACATCTGATTTTCACCCATCCCGTCTTTTTAGTTAGGTGCAGACGGAAGAGGAAAGGACGACACACATCACACCATAGATATGCATTCCCTGAAATCCTGCTGAAAAGGAGCAGCTGTTGCAAGGAACCACTAATCTGATAGCTGACAGAAAACATATCTACAGTGACAGTACAATTGATACTGTGGTTTACATTTAAAAGTTGATAATGTACAGTGAGGGAAAAAAGTATTTGATCCCCTGCTGATTTTGTACGTTTGCCCACTGACAAAGAAATGATCAGTCTATAATTTTAATGGTAGGTTTATTTGAACAGTAAGAGACAGTATAACAACAAAAAAATCCAGAGAAACGCATGTCAAAAATGTTATAAATTGATTTGCATTTTAAATGAGGGAAATAAGTATTTGACCCCCTCTCAATCAGAAAGATTTCTGGCTCCCAGGTGTCTTTTATACAGGTAACGAACTGAGATTAAGAGCACACTCTTAAAGGGAGTGCTCCTAATCTCAGCTTGTTACCTGTATAAAAGACACCTGTCCACAGAAGCAATCAATCAGATTCCAAACTCTCCACCATGGCCAAGACCAAAGAGCTCTCCAAGGATGTCAGGGACAAGATTGTAGACCTACACAAGCCTGGAATGGGCTACAAGACCATCGCCAAGCAGCTTGGTGAGAAGGTGACAACAGTTGGTGCGATTATTCACAAATGGAAGAAACACAAAATAACTGTCAAATCTCCCTCGGCCTGGGGCTCCATGCAAGATCTCACCTCGTGGAGTTGCAATGATCATGAGAATGGTGAGGAATCAGCCCAGAACTACACGGGAGGATCTTCTCAATTTTCTCAAGGCAGCTGGGACCATTGTCACCAAGAAAACAATTGGTAACACACTACGCCGTGAAGGACTGAAATCCTGCAGCGCCCGCAAGGTTCCCCTGCTCAAGAAAGCACATATACAGGGCCGTCTGAAGTTTGCCAATGAACATCTGAATGATTCAGAGGAGAACTGGGTGAAAGTGTTGTGGTCAGATGAGACCAAAATCGAGCTCTTTGGCATCAACTCAACTCGCCGTGTTTGGAGGAGGAGGAATGCTGACTATGACCCCAAGAACACCATCCCCACCGTCAAACATGGAGGTGGAAACATTATGCTTTGGGGGTGTTTTTCTGCTAAGGGGACAGGACAACTTCACCGCATCAAAGGGACGATGGACGGCGCCATGTACCGTCAAATCTTGGGTGAGAACCTCCTTTCCTCAGCCAGGGCATTGAAAATGGGTCGTGGATGGGTATTCCAGCATGACAATGACTCAAAACACACGGCCAAGGCAACAAAGGAGTGGCTCAAGAAGAAGCACATTAAGGTCCTGGAGTGGCCTAGCCAGTCTCCAGACCTTAATCCCATAGAAAATATGTGGAGGGAGCTGAAGGTTCGAGTTGCCAAACGTCAGCCTCGAAACCTAAATGACTTGGAGAAGATCTGCATAGAGGAGTGGGACAAAATCCCTCCTGAGATGTGTGCAAACCTGGTGGCCAACTAAAAGAAACGTCTGACCTCTGTGATTGCCAACAAGGGTTTTGCCACCAAGTACTAAGTCATGCTTTGCAGAGGGGTCAAATACTTATTTCCCTCATTAAAATGCTAATCAATTGATCTTGATTTTTTTCTCACTGTTCAAATAAACCTACCATTAAAATTATAGACTGATCATTTCTTTGTCAGTGGGCAAACGTACAAAATCAGCAGGGGATCAAATACTTTTTTCCCCCTCACTGTATGAGTGCTCACACCACAAGCAAAGAGACTACAAAGAGAACTGGATGGAACTCAGAAGTTGAATAAGGTTGACCCTCACCTCTTCCTCCAGATGTACTTCCTGTCTGTGATGACTCACTTCCTGTGCGGGAGCGTGTAGCAGGTCGCTCAGAAGGTGGTTCCTCACTCCTCCAGCTTGGGTCCCTAAGCACAGAAGAGAAAGATTTAGTAAATATACTGAACAAAAATATAAAACGCAACATGCAACATTTTCAACGATTTTACATTTACATCATTCAGCAGACGGTCTTATCCAGAGCGACTTATTTTACTAAGTTACTGTTCCATAAAAGGAAAATCAGTCAATTGTAATAAATTAATTAGGTCCTAATCTATGGATTTCACATGACTGGACAGGGATGCAGCCATGGATGGGCCTGGGAGGGCATAGGCCCACCCACTTGGGAGCCCAGCCAATCACTGGAGAGTCAGGCCCAGCCAATTGTGTTTTCCCACAAAAGGGCTTTATTACAGACAGAAGTACTCCTCAGTTTCATCAGCTGCCCGGGTGGCTGGTCTCAGACGATCCCGCAGGTAAATATCCCGGATGTGGAGGTCCTGGGCTAGCATGGTTACATGTGGTCTGCGGTTGTGAGGCCAGTTGGACGTACTGCCAAATTCTCTAAAACAACGGTGGAGGCGGCTTATGGTAGAGAAATTGACAATTCTCTGGCAACAGCTCTGGTGGACATTCGTGCTGTCAGCATGCCAATTGCACACTCCTTCAAAACTTGAGACATCTGTGGCATTGTGTTGTGTGACAACTGCACATTTTAGATTGGCCTTTTATTGTCTGTAGCCCAAGGTCACCTGTGTAATGATCAAGCTGTTTAATCAGCTTCTTCATATGCCACACCTGTCGGGTGGATGGACTATCTTGGCAAAGGAGAAACGCTCAATAACGGACGTAAACAAATTTGTGCACAAAATGAAAGAAATAAGCTTTTTGTGTGTATGGAACATTCCTGCTCTGGCAATTTCCAGCTACACCCTCAACCCCTCACCTGTCTCTGTCGCGGGGTTTCCTATCGAAGCCCCTGGACTTGTCCTCTTCCAGCTGCCTCTGGAGCTTCTCCTCCACCTCCCGCTCCTTGGCCGCCGTGTCCACGGGCTTGGCCGCTCCGAAGATGGAGGCACGGCCGGAGCTGGGGGCAGTCACTGGAGCAGCTGGAACAGCTCCCCCACCACCGCTGCGAGCCTGCTCCTCCTCCTTGGGCGTGCTGCGTGGCTTCAGGACCAGCTTGGGCCTCTGGGTAGGACCACCTGGGTGTGGAGGGAAGAGGGGGGTGGGGTGGTAACGGAGTGGATATGGGTTATAGGGATGACATCATATATTTTGTAATTATTTAACCTTTATTTGAACCGTGGATGCATCATCACCAAGGGAGACCTGTTCATTTGATATAAATGTAATACAACACTACTAACTAATTAAAGGGGGACCGAGGCAGGAGACCTAAGGGAAGGATGGTGTCAGCAGGGGTAAGAGGATGGACATGTGGTTATGGGGTTGACATCATACAGAATAATATACTGTAATAAGCAAAATAATATTGAACGTAATTTGAGGGTCATTTACCCTCACCTCCTCTCTCCTCGCGCCTCTCATATCGGTCCTCTCTGTCCCCTCCGTAGCGATCCCGGTCCCGGTCCCCGTAGCGGCCACCACCACCCCCGTCATCATCACGGCGGTAGCCACTGCCGAAGGCACGTCGCCCGCCGTCATCCCGGTCCCTGCGGGAGCCAAAGGCTGTGGAAGAGTAGAGGAGTACAAGCGCCAAGACTTAGACAGGGTATTGATCAAGCGGCTGTAACTGAAATATGAGCGCGACACAGGGAAACACTTTGTTTGGTTCTGGCATTATTCATCTCATGAAGGCAAAAATATACACGCAATGGCTGCTTTACAAGCTGTCCACAGAACAAAAAAAATACAGTTGCCATACTTGAAAAACTGATAGATTTTAGCACCAGCAACCGCAGTCAGATCAATGTAACTGCAGGATCTAAACTTTGCCACTCTGCATAGTGTCAGGTTGACAAAAAGGACTGTTGACTAATGCTAAGCCCCACAGTGCCAGTTTGGAAATACTTTATGATTGAAGGTCTTATTACAATTTGCATTGTGGGAGCTCATGTCGCAGTGTGGCAGGGTCAACGACATCGGATTTACTGCACTTGCAAACTCCGGACAACACCAAATCGTCCCGGCCAAACGACTAGCATGTCACAATTTTCTGTCGTAGCTCTGCACTTTTTGTATTGTGTGAACACAGCTAAGTGGGAGACTCCACACAATCGTTATCTGTGCCCAATAAAAACTTGGCATGCTGGCATGTGCTGTGGCAAAGAAGAAGCAATAGGTTCATCTTTCTACATTTAGGCTGTTTATGTGTGTATTTTACACTATTTTGTGAAAACAGCCAAATATATCCAAATTTGATTTTATAAACCACATTGTAGGCCTACTAGAACAGATAAAATGCTGATATATTTGACAAACAATCACTGTTTGTATCTACTACGAGTTCAAATCAAACTTGATATATACACTAGTGGAAATGACAATGTCACGACGGCAGGGGAGCTGAGCTGTAAGTCGCAACGTGAGAACACCCTTCAGATAAAATCCTCACGATTTATCAGCTGTGATGTTGTACAGTGGCGCATACATAAAGACATTCAGATTTTCAAAAACGCACTGTGGGGAAGTGCCATTAGTCTGTTTTCCTGTGAGAATTAGTCCTAAGCAAGGCTAAGAGCAAAAAATAGCTTATGGATTGACATTCTTGATATTCATTATCATACAGGAGGCTTGATTGACTGATGACACCATATTCTGACAGAGGAGGATCTGGATAACAAAGTAAAGCATATTCTAGATTGTCGATGATACTCTCAGTTTTGAGCAGTGGTTTCACCTCCGCTCTCACCTCCCCGGTCGTCATAACGGTCTCTGCCGCCGAAGCCACGGTCTCTGCCGCCGTCTCGGTCGCCGCCAAAGCCGCGGTCTCGGTCGCCGCCAAAGCCGCGGTCGTTGTCCCGTCTCGGCCCGTCACGGTCTCCATAGCGGTCGCGGGACCCTGAGAGGGACAGAAAGAAAACGTCAGTTAATAAAAAGGCACGCAAATCAAGTGATGGCCTCTTGAGATCTCAGCAATATTAAGAAAAAAAGTCACAGAACGTATGCAGTTCTTGTCATAAGGCTGAAGATAAGAACTTGAACTATCTGGACCGACTAAAATACACCCATGCGTGCTTGACGTTACAGATAGTGTAGCACGAAGCCTTGAGACAAAGGACATTAAGAAAGAGGTCCGCCCCACTGGGCCTTTTCTCTCCTTCCTTGGTATACCCGTGCTTACATGCCCCCAAGAGCCAAGCCGTGAGGCGTCGCCCTCCCAATTTTAGCAGGGTGCTTTAAAAGAAGGGATGTGTGCTTGCCGAGTCCACTTTGAGCTTAGAAGGAATCACTCTCACCGAAAGCGGATTCCTCTCTCTTTGGGGGTCCGTCGTCAGCGTCTGCAGTGGGCCGGGCCCTCCAGTCATCACTGTCGGTCTTGTCAGGGCCCCCCATGTCTCCCATACGGCCCATCCTGTCCCGTCCGCCCATCTGGCCATTGTCTCTCCCCTCTGGCCATAGAAGGAAGTTAGACATCAAAGTAGAAGAAAGAAAAGCCCACACACTGTAAATGCCCCCAGGTGCTTTATTTCTGCACCACATTAGAAAACGTTTTGGTTGCTCTAGCCCTTCTTAAGTGTTGTTTGGCCCGGCATTGGTGGGGAAATGTTGGATGTGCATCAACTGTTCTCCTGACACATAGGACCAGTTTCCTGGACGCAGAATAAGCCTAGTCCTGGACAAAAAGCACTTTCAATGGAGATTCTCCATTGAGTTTGCTTTATAGCCCAGGACTAGGCTTAATCTGTGTCTAGGAAACCGCCGCATAAGATCTAAGGCTGGATTTATACTCCTGTTGACGTACTCTATAGAGAGACTGACATCTCCACGAACCAGAGATTCCAGAGCATGCTGTAGGTTGTAACTTTACGTACGAGGAACGTTTGGAGTAAAAATCCAGCCTAATCATTGGACAAAATGGATCCTCCTACAGTTTTGATGTGTTACTTGCTACCGTTTAGTACCCAACATCCATGATGCTTACAACGTCCAGGTCAAGTGATAGAACATTTGGCCATTCTGTTCCCATAGTACAGTAGAATGCTCAGAATCATGGGTTGTGTCTAACTCACCCTTGTCATTGGACTGATCTGCAATATCCACCCGGATCCTGCGGTTTCCCAGGTTCTGTTAGGACAGAGGGGCAGGGAATAAGTCATTACAAGTAATGTGGCCTAAATTAACCAACTCATCTTTTTTCCATACCTGCATGTTCCAGTGTGATAGCTTGAAACTTTTTACCTGTCATTTACATTTAAATTCCATATATTAATCTTGAACAATTCATTTGATTAACGCATTTATGAAAAGCTCTCGTACTGCTACTAAATCAACAGCACTTTAGTTTTTTGTCCCTTGTAGACACCAAAGTAGATAATTACCAAAGTTGAATGATGTTGATATGGGTTGAAATTATCAAATGTCTACGGGATGAATCCCAACTAAGCGAGTGGGTCATCATGCATTGCATTGATTGGTGTTCCGATGAATGGACCTGGAGTTAAGACCCTTTGATCCTTCCTGCTGCCCCTCCTTGCGTCCTTTCCTTACCTCCTCGTTGAGAGTCAGTGCCCTCAGGAGGGAGTCCACATCATCAAACTCGGCGTAGCCAAAGCCCTTCAGCCTCTCTGGGTTACTGGGCTCCCGTGGCAAGCGCACAGCACTGATCTGAGAACAGAGGGGAGACAGAGCAGTGAGGGTAAGAGAGGGCTGATTGAGAACTGTACTGGTATGAGGTCAAAAATAAGACTGATGAGCGAGGGCGAGAGGACAGTCTCAGAACAGAGGGGATATATTGCAATGACGTAACAAGAATGCGTTACTGTATCATGAGATTAATCTAAATGTCCTTGAGGGAATTTGAATAGGATAGCTACACACTTCCCTAGCATACATTGGCAGGTCTCTTCCCACATTCAACTTCTCTCCATATAGGCTAACCTACTGTATTTCCATTTCAACATTTATACTACAGTCAACACTTTTAGTAAAATCTATATTTTTGATGCCTCCTATGTTGACGTTGAAGATATATTGAACTATGGCGCTTGTTTGTATAAACAGCAACATTTCAGGCAAGTCATCTTAACCTTTGGGCAAGTAAAAAAAAAAAATGCTGCAGACTTGCCCAATGGGCAAGTGTCCATCAAGTGTTAATGTCAATCCCCAGAAAACCATTGGTGCTAAATCCATGAGCATACAACCAACATCAGTGGTGTAAAGAACTTAAGTAAAAATACTTTAAAGTACTACTTAAGTCATTTTTGGGGGGTATCTGTACTCAACTATTTCTATTTTTGACAACTTTTACTTCACTACATTCCTAAAGAAAATAACGTACTTTTAACTCCATACATTTTCCCTGACACCCAAAAGTACTCGTTACATTTTGAATGCTTAGCAGGAGAGAAGAATTGTCCAATTCACACACTTATCAAGAGAACATCCCTGGTCATCCCTACTGCCTCTGATCTGGCAGACTCACTACACAACACACGTTTCATTTGTAAATGATGTCTGAGTGTTGGAGTGTGCCCCTGGCTATCCGTAAATTAAACAAACAAAAAAAGATAAGGAATTTGAAATGATTTATACTTTTACTTTTGATACTCAAGTATATTTTAGCAATGACATTTACTTTTGATACTTATGTATATTTAAAACCAAATACTTAGACTTACTCAAGTAGTATTTTACTGGGTGACTTTCACTTTTACTTGAGTCATTTTCTATTAAGGTATCTTTACTTTTACTCAAGTATGACAATTGGGGACTTTTTCCACCACTGACAAACAATAGATAAGAACTATTCAAACAATAGATAAGAACTATTCCCACGGGGGGCCAGTATAAAAAAAATATGTATTCACTAACTGTAAGTCGCTCTGGATAAGAGCGTCTGCTAAATGACTAAAATGTAAAAATGTAAAATGTAACTAAAATAGAATAAAAAGAGTAAATAATAAAGTGACATTAATCAATGAGCAGAAATACGGGATTGGTAACCTCATGTACCGTTCAGTTCTAGACTTTGGTATAGTCAGTTTGTTTTGGCTGCGGGTGTTCCTGTCGGTCAGTGATTTGGTCAGGGGGTAGCCAGTCTCTGAATTTAGATTTTAGGAGGCTGACACCAAAGTCGGGGAAGAGTTGTGTCTGTCTTTCATGAAGCCGGGGTAGGGACAGGTTCTGAAGTGCCTCAGTATAACTGGAGTGCCCTCCTGGGATGGGTGCGGCATGCTCTCTTCTGAATACGCTCCAGGTCAGACTGGGCTGGGTCAGTGAGCTGTGCCAAGCAGGAGTGGCATACCCCAGGGTGGGGAATATGTAGCTGGTGTACATGCTCACCAGGTCTTCCTGTGGCAGAAGGAACCATTTAAGGCAGTGAAGGAGAAAAAGTTATCTGTTGCTCTTGGTTAGCATATTAGCAACCTGCTTGCCCAATTGTAAGTCCTTCTGTACCATTACCCCTAAATGTTTTACATTTTATTAATTTAGCAGACACTCTTATCCAGAGCAACTTACAGGAGCAATTAGGGTTAAGTGTCTTGCTTAAGGGAACTCGAACCAGCAACCTTTCGGTTACTGGCCCAACGCTCTTAACTGCTAGGCTACCTGCCACACTATCACACACTGAGATTCTGGCCATCAATACAGAAGGGGCATGGGACAGGTGGATTTCTTGTGAAGGTCACTGACAGGACCTTGCACTTGGTAGGGTTCAGAGAAATTCTGCTTGCATGAACCCACGTGTCGAAGTTGCAAAAGGGTGTGCAACTCAATAATAAGGTGTTACTAATGTTTTTCACACTCAGTGTATATTAACAGGCTAGACAGGTTGATGGTTCCAGTTAAGCCGCCTCCTACAGATATAGGCAATGATTGACCTCAGGTGGGTTGAATGTCCTGTTTGTGTCCTTCAGCTTGACAGGAATTAGGGACGTTAACGGTTAACCGTTAGCCGCAGAAAATACATTTTACCGGTCATTCTTATCGTTCTATAGGTACATATGAATAATTTAGTGGAATTAAATTGGCGTCATTCATCTTATTTATCACACACGCTCAGCATACATAGGCTATTCTGCTCCTCAAACTAGGATATCACCTGTCAGACAGCACGAGAGCAGCTCCTCAAAAAGCTGGTACTGGAGTGAAATGTGCTTTTGTAAGCCCAGTCATTGCGCAACAAATAACAATTTTAAATGCAATCGCGTGTTAACTTTTCATGGCCACAATTAACTTGTAATTACAGCAATCAACTCGGAATTACAGCATTCGAGTGCATAGGCTATATCAATGGTCACCCACCACTTTGCAACGTGAACTTGAGGCAGTATAATTGTTTGAAACCTGAACGTTTAACATTACTTCAAATAATGAGGCATGTCTTACCTTGCTTCAAAATAGCCTAGCCAAAATCCAACCATAAAAAGTGGAGGCAATTATTTTATAAAGATACAGAATTTCTCTCCTGTTCTATTGATTTTCATATCAACTTCCTTTCGTTGTCCAGAAGCCAAAATCCTCATATTAGCAACTCATCCTAGTCATTACTATTAGATTCCCCTTCTCTAAGTATCTAACTGAGATTTTAGTCTCCGTCACATATGGAACCGCTTGCATTAAGTGCGCTGTTTAGAACAGTGTTTTCCTGCGAATCGCATTTCGGCAAATGTTTGAAAATTACATTTTATTGGCTGCTTCATTACAGAAGTTCCATGTTCAATAATAAGCTATAGCCTTTTGACTGTAAGACGGCAGGCTTGCTATTGTTGCATGTTTCCAACTCTTAATGAAAAATGTCCGTTCCTTGTATGCATGCATAGTATTTTCTGTTGGTCACCTCATTTTACTGTTTGGAAATGTTTTTACCGTTTGTTGACTGGTTAATGAGGGTCGGTTAGTCGGCAGCAAAATTGACCAAAATTTGCATCCCTAACAGGAATACAAACAACTGGTGTATCAATAGTTGACCACAACCATGGTTGTCCAGTGCATCTCATATCTCCTTCAAAAAAAGAGCTCACAATTTTTTCCAAACTTTTCTGCAGCACGCATTGGGAGGCAAATCAAATTAGAATCCTGATAACACTTACTAAATCGTCATATAAATCACAATGACGGCCAAGAAATACACATCAAACATTTTCTAGGCACAATTTAGCATTAAGTGTCCTTCCCCTTAATGTTGCTGAGTCAGTTACTGTCAAACTGCACAGCGACCGTCGGTGAAACTGTGGTTTTTGCCATCTATTTGACCGTGTCTGCTACAAGAGAACAGCAACGGCTTCGATCAGTGCCAGGAGGCTCACTGTTTGGCAGGTTCGCAGCCCCAATAGGCGTATAATGCTGAAGATAACGAGGCTGGTCAGCAAAACTATGTTTGGTAAAGATTTTAATAGATTTGCTTTTGGTGCAAACCCCTGTAACAGTTTATTTTTTACAGTTCTTCTCCTTTCCTATTTACTGATAGCAACTACTGTTGTTCAACACAGATCTACACTATAGTCAAAAAGTGTGGGGGTATCCTTTTCACACCAGAGTCACGTTGAGTCGGCACAACGCAGCAAAACATTGTGTAAATGATCGTTCTCATTAGACATGTTCAGGTAGGACTGCAAAGCATTTTTGCACCATTTTGTGCCTACTGAACACAACACAGATTTTGTTAACACATCTGCCGTTCTGACAGGATCTAGTACGTACCGCTAGGCCTCGGAAGAAGTCCATGATAGATTCCTCTGAGACGTCGTAGGGCAGGTTGCCCAGGAAGGCGGTGTAGGGGGGGCTGCGGGGAAGGCGCGACCGGTCCACGTTGGGCTCGCGGGCCGACCGCGGCGCCGTGGGCAGGATGTTGCGGTCTATGGCCGGGGCCCGGTAACTGTCCTCCCCTGAGTGCCAGGAGGTGGATACTGAGGGAGAGGAAGAGTGGGATGAGAAAGAGGGATGTGTTTCTCCAGAGACATTTGGATTTCAATGGACAGGTGCAACATTACAGAAAACTCAGAAATGTATTGTGGAACAACAAGACATGATTCCCAATGCTACATTTCTCTGATCTGCAAAGTTAACATTGCACCCTAGTGAACGTGAAACCCTGGAAAGTTTGCATCTTTGGATGAGTCCCCATACGAGATTTCATCAAGCATCATGTTGCGTCTCTCACCATCTCCCTCCAGGTCATCAGTCTCATCGGCCCAGCTGGTTGACTTGGCGTAGCTGGGTTGCGGTGGTGGAGCGTTGCCTCCACTCCCACTGTCCTCTGCCAGGAAGTCAGTGAGGGTCAGCGTCTTCCCCTTCTTATTCCCCTTTTTCTTAGCTGGAGAGAGAGAGAGAGAGATCAGTGGGCTGCACGACACATTGAAGGGAAATGTAATGTACAGAGGTGAACTGTCCAAAAACAACCACTAGTCCCTAGTTTCCAGTCTGAGGGGTCTAGATTAGCGTGGTTGCCAGTCTCTTACATAGGAGATAGAGGGTACATTTGGAAGACATTTTGACTGATGTAATTACGAAGTCATAGCCCACTACACACGGTCCATTTAACTTGATTTGTAACTACTAGACTTGAGGTAGAGGTCTGCGCGAGACTGATTTATTCATCCCACTCCCGCCCGCAGCTTTTCATACCGCACTCTGTCCGACTCCCAACGGCTACCGCAAAAAAAACTGTCCCAAACGCAACCGCAGTCCTGCAATGTTATTTTAGACGTATGTGACACAGCTCACTTGCCAGCCATGGTCCAAGCAATATGGCGCCCTATAGGCAATATATCAAAATCTGCAAAAATAACCTAAGAAATAGGTCAAATTACCAGAGATTCTCACATGGCCCATTATATTAGGCTATCGGTATAACTGGACGATAATCAGACAATAGGCTAGACGTAGTTTGAAGAGAGCAGAAGGTGGAGACTTGCACTTTCTCTTGAGCTATGTTTTATAGCCTACCCTGTAGGAGTGATACAATTTTCAGACTGAGAAAAATATGGGTGATCAATATTTATTTCTAGGCAATGTAGTAAAATATAGCCTAATCATATTTAGGAAGTACATTTCCTTGTAAAGATAACTGCCCCGTGCTTCTCCGCCCATGCATAGGCGATAGCCTACTATGCAGATTTTCATACCATCATAACGTTTCTGTACCATACCGGGGTATACGGCATTAATGAACGTGCACAAAGGTGTGCTGTTGAAAAAAAAAAGTTATAAATAAAATGTTTGGAAACAAACCAATTTAGGCAATAGGGATCTTGATCCAGGAGGGGATTGAATGTCTCTGCTGTAACCAAGAAGCTTGATATCTAGCCACTTAGATAGCTAACCAAATGCATAGCTGGAGCCCTGAGCTGGGTATAATTTGACATCTTAGATTTATTATATAGTTATACTAAACTTATAGTTTATAAGCAGTGGCGTAGCACGCAACCCCCCCCCCAAATTATTTTTTTTTAAAGCGGTATTGAAAATCATACCGTCGGTATTTCGAAATATACTGTTTATACCGTATACTGGGGTATCGCCCAAGCCTATACCCTACTCTATTTAATTGAGACCACACACGCACCTGATCTCCACATATGGCTACTGAACTGGAAGTAGCAAGAATGATGACAGCGGACAGTTACACTCTCTTGAGCTACGTTTTGCATGTAGGATATAGCCTACCTTTTAGGAGGATGATTTGCAGGCAGAGACAAATAAAATGGGCAATCAATATTTATTGAAAATGAAAAGGCATAATGCTCGCTCACTATTTTAGCCTATGACTGTGTCGCGCCTTTTCCTTTTCAATGCTCTATTTGTTTGATTGCACCTTGACTCATGTCGGTTGAGCACCCTCCACTTATTTCCATTATCATTATTACAGACACTGTAGTAAACTGCAGTCAAATCATATTTAATAAAACGTCCTTGGAAAGATAACTGCCACGTGATTCTCCGCCCATGCACTGGCAGCCTACTATTTAATTGAGACCACACATATACAGACGCACTTGATCTTGCACACCTAACTAGGAGAGGAAGGCTACTGAACTTGAAGCAGCGAATTCTGAGTGTGAATAATGCAACAAATAGGTGATTTTAATACAGTAGGTAGGCTAACGCATCCAAAGCATAAAGTATTGTTCCTAAAGGCTCCTTGACAGCTTCTACCCGCAAGCCATAAGACTGCTGAACAATTAATCAAATGGACACCCGGACTATTTGCATTGACAACGCCCCCCTTTTGTTTTTACACTGCTGCTACTTGCTGTTTATTATCTATGCATAGTCACTTTACCCCTACCTATGTCTACAAATTACCTTGACTATCCTGTACCCCCACACATTGACTCGGTACACCCTGTATATAGCCTCGTTATTGTTATTTTGTTAATTTCTTAAATTTATATTTACTTTAGTTTATTTAGTAAATATTTTCTTAACTCTTATTATCTTAAAACTGCATTGTTGGTTAAGGGCTTGTAAGTAAGCATTTCACAGTAAGGTCACACTGTTGTATTCGGCGCATGTGACAAATACAATTTTATTTGACTGTTTTCAAATAATCTGCGAGACATCCCAAAATCGTCTGTCTGACCGCCACTGCCAACCGCACCATGAAAAATGCTGATTGTGTTGCTATGCTCTCTTGGGACCAGTAGGTCCTGTTGGCAGCCTTCTACCTCCAGGCAGCCCTGCACTTGCGTCGTAAACCAAAGAAAGTGTCCATATGGAGCTAGTGGAAATGCCTGACAAACTGCCATTGACATTCTCGGACGAAAGCAAAATAAGCTCATTGGTTTAGAAAAGGGCTCAAACTGCCCTTTATGCCAACAGCTGCATGTGAACAAATAGTACATTTTCACTGTTGTGGAGTGCTCCAGTCCAACAGCGTGTCAGATAACAGAGCAGTGATGTGCAGACCATGATAATGAAACAGTGTGTGTCTGTCTAATAGGTCTTCATAGTTTGTGTGGGGCCAAAGCCAGACAGATGAGCCTTGGCCCCACTGACCCATTTTAAAAGGCAGGGTGACGTTTACTGGGATGAATCTTGTACTGAGGCAGAGCGGAGAGATTTACACTAGATGGGCCAGCGGCAAAGTCAAAACTGGCTACATATTGTATAAATTCATGAAAGCAAAATGTGCTTTTTGGTCATCATTTAAAGTTGGGGTTAGGCATAAGGTCAGCGGTGTGGTTAAGGTTTAAAAATCAGATTTTATGACTGTGGCAGCTAGTGATTATCCTGCAGAGCTGCCTCCAGTACATTACTCATCTCAGTGAATGCCAACCTGGTTCTAAAACAGGGAGTGGTCTCTCGCTGCATATTAACCGCCAATATAAGTGCTTTTATACAGTTTATCCTATTTGCAGCAACAGAGAGTTTGGTTGTTTCCTCAAGGGCAACACCACTTTAGGTGTGTGTGAGACATCAAAATGAGTTATGACTATTTTTTTATTTTACCTTTATTTAACTAGGCAAGTCAGTTAAGAACAAATTCTTATTTACATACAATGACTGCCTACACCGGCCAAACCCGGATGACGCTGGGCCAATTGTGCAACGCCCTATGGGACTCCCAATCACGGCCGGTTGTGATACAGCCTAGAATCGAACCAGGGGGTCTGTAGTGACGCCTCAAGCACTGAGATGCAGTGCCTTAGACCACTGCGCCACTCGGGAGCCCAATAATGACTGACTACTGGTTTCAGGGGTTTTAATGGGACCCAACTCTTCTGGTGGAGCAGGTTTGGTCGGTTTGTTTTGGTTTGAAGCAGACTGGGAAAAACAAAGAGGGCTGGCAGCTTCATTGTGAAAATCCCAGCTGTCAGGACATTCTTTTCACACACACAGCCTGTTTACAATTGGTATCTTGTCAGTGGGTCACACACAGTTTACAATGAATGGGTAATAGTACTCGTGCAGTGACTGACAACAATACCATAAATGCACACTGTATTTAATTATCCTAGAAAACAGCATATAGGCCTAGGTGCAAAGTAGTGCCTTTCACATGGTGAATCATTATGAATTATGTGAAACCAAACTGAGGATATAGCCAGTGAGTCATTCTGCCAAAGTAGCTAGCTACAGCCATTTTGCCAATGTAGCCATATTGCCAAAGCTAGCTAACTAAGTTAGCAAAAACTGGATGGTACCTAGCTAGCTACTACCGGTGTGTTGCCCCGTGTAGCTCAGTTGGAAGAGCATGGCGCTTGCAACGCCAGGGTTGTGTGTTCGTTTCCCACGGGGGGCCAGTATGAAAATGTATGCACTCACTAACTGTAAGTCGCTCTGGATAAGAGCGTCTGCTAAATGACTAAAATGTAAATGTTAGTAAGCTAACGAGCTAGCTAGCTTAGCTAGCCATTGTCATTACACCCACTGGCTTAGTCAGCAAAGGACTGCTGACCGGGAAGACTCTGCTTGAGTTTAAGGCCTATGCTAGCGGCATGTGGCAGACATAATCAAATATGCCAGCCGGCAAAAATTTGAGGGGAGGCCAGTGATAGGACGTGTCCGGCAACTGTCCCGCTTCACCCATCAGTTACCAAAATCCGCACGTGGGGAATTCCTTGTGAACCCCATGCCACTGAACCAGACCCTCCTCTAAGAAATGTGCTTGCTTGTCTTAACGCCACCGTCGACTACCTAGACACAATGTGTCAGTTGTTTATGAATAACATTACATCACGACCTACTTAATGTCGGATACAAGCCAAAGACACACTCTAATGTCAACGTAATACCCGTCACATATCACACAATGAAAAACACCGGGAATAAATTATTCAACTCTGAGCAAATCGCTGCCTCGCGTAGCTAACGACGTTAGCTAGCTAGCTAGCTAGATCACTTCCCCGGCAGCGGCGTCTTTATCCCTGAGAAACAGTCATTTGATTAAAATATACACATAGGACACCGACACAGATTGAAACGATAAGCTGTAGACACTCGTCAAACGATATTTGCTCAATTGTGTCGAGCTAATACCCTCTGAAATCGCCCAACCGACCTAGCTCGTTCACCCACATAAACCTCACCTGGCGCCGCCATGTTGGAGAGCGAGTTCGTACCAGATTCCCGGATGAAGGCGTCAGAGGTTTATAATCGAGAACGCGCATCTGGTCGCGAGCCTCAAATCCCCCCAGCCTTGCCCTTGCAGTCTACTATTTTCTATGAATAATATTCTGTTATGGTGTTTATCTAGAGACCAATTTCAGGCATCTCAAATAGATTTGAATACCTTTTGTATATAAAAAACAAGTAGTAGAAGAAAGTATTATGCATAGTAGTAAAACGTATGTGTACACAATAGGATATAGCTAGTTACAGTATAAATTACGAATGTGCTGTGTCAAGTATGATTGTATATAAAGTGGATAGTGTCTTGGTGTCGCAGTTAAATTAAATAGTATATATAGTATATAAATAGAACAGCAGTGATGACTGTGTGTGTGTGTGTGTGTGTGTGTGTGTGTTTCTTTTCCTACATTATCAGGACCCCAAAGTCCTAACATTTAACCTGAATGTCCTGAAAAGGTAGGAAGACAAGTTTTTTTTTGAAAAGTAAGGACTTTTTTCAGGTCCTGAATTTGTTCAAATGCCATTTTAAGCTTAGGGTTAGATTTAGAGTTTTGGTGTTAAGGTTAATGTTAGGGCTAGGGTTAAGGTTAGGTTTAGGGTTAGGATTAGGTTTAGGTTTAGGTTTAGGGTTAGGGTTTTTGAGGTTAAGGTTAGGGTTGGGTTAGGGTGAAGGTTTAAATTAAGTGTTAAGGTTAGGGTTAGTATTAGGGTTAGGTTAGGCATTAGGGAAAATAGCATTTTTAATGGTCAAACATTTTTACACTCCAAAAAGTCCTGACATTTCATGAAAACATACAATGACAACTTTAGAATTGTATAGTAACAGCTTATTTAACCTTTATTTAACCAGGAAAGAAAACAATGAGACACAAGTCTCTTTTGCATGGGAGACCTGGCCAAGAAGGCAGCAATAGGCAATACATTGCAACATTTAATACATACATTAGAAACAGCACAACAACACGTCATCAAGAGCTGATCCGGCCTACAGGAAACATTTACACTCCTCCTGAACAGAGTTTTGGGCCAAAGTTTTAAACTCACTAAGGGGCATTAGTTAATCTAGGAAGCACATTTTACAGACTGTTCCATGCCTCTAGTGCACAATAGGAAAAGGCAGTCTTGCCTTGCTCGGTAACGGCTCTGAGGCTTTACCAACCACCTAGTAGACCGTGTCTGGTAACTGCTACTGGTGAAGGAGAGCAGGCTACAGAGCTAGAGAGGTCGTTTACCCAGAAGGGTTTTGTAGATGAACACGTAACAATGTAACTGTCTATGCATGTAAAGTGAGGTCCAGCCAAGCATTTGATACAAGGTGCAATGGTGGGTGAGCTTGGCCTCAACATCAGCATATACCTCATCGTCAGAGTATAGCTGTCTGCCTTTCATCACCTTACCTAAAGCAATCAAATAAGATTACTTTATAGTGGCTTATAAGTATGCTATAACACACCAAAACAAATATTAGGATGCAGTAATAAGGATGTGCTGCTCATTGACAAAAAGGTTAGAAATGCATCACACTGATGGTCATTATAATGCTGTATGATCCTTGAGGAAAAAGTGACCAGCAATTATGAAGCACTATGTTGCTGTACATTATAAGTGATTATGATTATACTTATAATGCATCAGCAGTATTGGTATAATGAATTATGAGTCTTTATGTGTCTATAACTAAACGTATACTGAATTATTACTCTATCATAGTGCATTATGAGTACATCTATAATGCTGTATAATGCATTATGCATATGAGGTTCATAGAAAGTCTTACCCAAATATTCTCTAAGGTGCAGGTCTGAGCAGGTAGACAGCTAGGGTTAGCTGTTCAACAGTCTGATGGCCTGGTGGTAGACCTGACGCTCCGATACCGTTTGCCAGATGGTAACGGAGTGAATAGTCCGTGGCTCGGCTGACTGGAGTCCTTGACGATCGTCTAGGCCTTCCACAGATACCGCGTGTCATACCAGGCGGTGATGCAGCCAGACAAGAAACTCTCAATGTTGCATCTATTGAAGTTCTTGAGGATCTGAGGGGCTGTTGCGCTTTCTTGAAGATGGGCTGTTGCGCTTTCCACGGTGTCGGTGTGATGGGTCCATGTCAGGTCCTTTGTGATGTGCACGCTGAGGAACTTGAAGCTTTTGACAATCTCCACTGCAGCCCCCAGAACCCTGAGCTTAATGAAGAGGTTGGACGGGACTATAGTGTTGAAAGCTGATCTGCAGTTAATGAACAGCATCCTCACAAATGTATTCCTCTTGTCCAGGTGAGATAAAATAAAATAAAATTAAATAAAATGTTATTGGCCACATGCGCCGAATACAACAGGTGCAGACATTACAGTGAAATGCTTACTTACAGCCCTTAACCAACAGTGCATTTATTTTTAATAAAATGTTTAAATAAAACAACAACAAAAAAAGTGTTGAGAAAAAAAGATCAGAAGTAAAATAAAATAACAGTAGGGAGGCTATATATACAGGGGGGTACCGGTGCAGAGTCAATGTGCGGGGGCACCGGCTAGTTGAGGTAGTTGAAGTAATATGTACATGTGGGTAGAGTTAAAGTGACTATGCATAAATAATTAACAGAGTAGCAGCAGCGTAAAAAGATGGGGTGGGGGGGCAGTGCAAATAGTCCGGGTAGCCATGATTAGCTGTTCTGGAGTCTCATGGCTTTGGGGTAGAAGCTGTTGAGAAGTCTTTTGGACCTAGACTTGGCACTCCGGTACCGCTTGCCATGCGGTAGCAGAGAGAACAGTCTATGACTAGGGTGGCTGGAGTCTTTGACAATTTTGAGGGCCTTCCTCTGACACCGCCTGGTATAGAAGTCCTGGATGGCAGGAAGCTTGGCCCCAGTGATGTACTGGGCCGTACGCACTACCCTCTGTAGTGCCTTGTGGTCGGAGGCCAAGCAGTTGCCATACCAGGCGGTGATGCAACCAGTCAGGATGCTCTCGATGGTGCAGCTGTATAATTTTTTGAGGATCTGAGGACCCATGCCGAATCTTTTCAGTCTCCTGAGGGGGAATAGGCTTTGTCGTGCCCTCTTCACGACTGTCTTGGTGTGTTTGGACCATGATAGTTTGTTGGTGATGTGGACACCAAGGAACTTAAAGCTCTCAACCTGTTCCACTACAGCCCCGTCGATGAGAATGGGGGCGTGCTCAGTCCTCTTTTTTTTTCCTGTAGTCCACAATCATCTCCTTTGTCTTGGTCACGTTGAGGGAGAGGTTGTTATTCTGGCACCACACGGCCAGGTCTCTGACCTCCTCCCTATAGGCTGTCTCATCGTTGTCGGTGATCAGGCCTACCACTGTTGTGTCGTCGGCAAACTTAATGATGGTGTTGGAGTCGTGCCTGGCCATGCAGTCATGGGTGAACAGGGAGTACAGGAGGGGACTGAGCACGCACCCCTGAGGGGCCCCCGTGTTGAGGATCAGTGTGGCAGATGTGTTGTTACCTACCCTTACCACCTGGGGGCGGCCCGTCAGGAAGTCCAGGATCCAGTTGCAGAGGGAGGTGTTTAGTCCCAGGATCCTTAGCTTAGTGATGAGCTTTGAGGGCACTATGGTGTTGAATGCGGAGCTGTAGTCAATGAATAGCATTCTCATGTAGGTGTTCCTCTTGTCCAGGTGGGAAAGGGCAGTGTGGAGTGCAATTGAGATCTGTGGATCTGTTGGGGCGGTATGCAAATTGGAGTGGGTCTAGGGTTTCTGGGATAATGCTGTTGATGTGAGCCATGACCAGCCTTTCAAAGCACTTCATGGCTACAGACGTCAGTGCTACGGGTCGGTAGTTATTTAGGCAGGTTATCTTAGTGTCCTTGGGCACGGGGACTATGGTGGTCTGCTTGAAACATGTTGGTATTACAGACTCAGTCAGGGACATGTTGAAAATGTCAGTGAAGACACTCGCCAGTTGGTCAGCACATGCTCGGAGTACACGTCCTGGTAATCCGTCTGGCCCTGCGGCCTTGTGAATGTTGACCTGCTTAAAAGTCTTACTCACATCGGCTATGGAGAGCGTGATCACATAGTCATCCGGAACAGCTGGTGCTCTCATGCATGCTTCAGTGTTGCTTGCCTCGAAGCGAGCATAGAAGTGGTTTAGCTCGTCTGGTAGGCTTGTGTCACTGGGAAGCTCGTGGCTGTGCTTCCCTTTGTAGTCTGTAATAGTTTTCAAGCCCTGCCACATCCGACGAGCGTCAGAGCCGGTGTAGTATGATTCAATCTTAGTCCTGTATTGACTCTTTGCCTGTTTGATGGTTCGTCGGAGGGCATAGTGGGATTTCTTATAAGCGTCCGGGTTAGAGTCCCGCTCCTTGAAAGCGGCAGCTCTACCCTTTAGCTCAGTGCGGATGTTTCCTGTAATCCATGGTTTCTGGTTGGGTGCAGTGCAATGGGAAAGGGGGATACCTAGTCAGTTGTACAACTGAATGCATTCAACTGAAATGAGTCTTCCGCATTTAACCCAACCCCTCTGATTCAGAGAGGGCTGTCTTAATCGACATTCATGTTCTCGGCGCCCAGGGAACAGTGTGTTAACTGCCTTGCTCAGGGGCAGAACAACATTTTTTTTCCTTGTCAGCTCTGGGATACGATCCAGCAACCTTTTCGGTTACTGGCCCAATGCTCCTACCCGCCAGTGATTGCGTTGTCCGTTGATCTTTTGGGGCGGTATGCAAATTGTAGTGGGTCCAGGGTGTCAGGTAAGGTGGCGCTGATGTGGTCCTTGACCAGCCTCTCAAAGCACTTCATGATGACAGAAGTGAGTGCCACAGGGCGATAGTCATTTAGGCAGGTTACCTTTGTTTGCCAGGGTACAGGAACAATGGTGGACATCTTGAAGCATGTGGGGATTACAGACTAGGACAGGGAGAGGTTGAATATGTCCATAATAACTCCAGCCAGCTGGTCTGCTTTTGCGAGTATTCACACGCTTAAAAGTCTTGCTCACGTTGGCCACAGAGATCGAGAGCACTCAGTCATTGTCACGGAATCAGCCGAGGCTG